ATCGTTCAGCTGTCTGATATTATCGACGTAGCCTCAATGTGGCTAGTTAGTTCGGCATCCCGTACCCCTAGCCGCATTTTAGTGGTGTGCGTCGATTAAGATCGATGAACCTCGAGGTCCTTCTAGCATAACTCTGAACCTATAATGAAAAAATCTGTAATTTGCCAGCCAACCTGCACGATGTTTAGAAAATAATTAGCGTGCACCACGGAATTTCTACTGACAACAAATAACCATTGACCAAAATTTGTTTGCACGAATGCGCCTACGCATATATTGCATCTCCAAAGGCCATTTAGATTCTAGAATGTTGAGGAAATCTGTTCTGGTGAAAAAATACCTGAAAGTTAAGTTCATTGTATGTGAGTCAGCCTTTTCCACAATTCGCGATTTTTTATCATCAGGTAACGTACTCAAAGTCGGCGGTGTTTATTCATCTGGAGATTTCGTTCACATAAAGAAATTGCCATAGTAAAGGATTTTCAATAATACAGGAGCATAGACATTATACATAGACATTCTACACCATGAAGTGGAAAGTCTGAAAATGCCGTAGATTTCGAGAACTCAATCTCATTGTGCGAATAGGCAGCGGCGTGCATCAATCGGTGAATCCGTGAAACCACACGAAAGCCTCACCCTGATTGGTTAGAATGCCAGCCAATCCGAGTCGAACATCTTTAACTCGACGTTTGTCGCCCCCCTCACGGAGATTGTGGCATGATCTTGTGGAACCCTATAAATATAGTTGAAATAACTTTCCTTTGTCTCCATAAATGGCTGTGTAGGTCGAACATCACTCGACGTTTGTCGCCCCCCTCACGGAGATTGTGGCATGATCTTGTGGAACCCTATAAATATAGTTGAAATAACTTTCCTTCCTCTCCATAAATGGCTGTGTAGAGCTACCGTACCTTTTGATATACCATAGTGGGCGGAGCAGGAAGCCAAGGGACCGATACAGAGTTGCTCTACCGTTTAGCAAGACAGCAAGGAGGATTCGGTTTCATTTTTGATGGATCTACTCCTAGCTGCGGAATGTATTGCACCCTTAATGTAGAGGAAACTGGCGTAGACAAACGGGCCAGGACAGCTAGCTAGTTG